ATTCCTGGTACTCATTTCTGTTAGAGGCTGAGTCGACCCCAGGGCCATAGTGCTGCAGCAAGGATTGGGTCAGTTGAAAAATTCAATGACATCGGGAATCAAACCCGCGACATTCCGTCTTGTAGCATAATTCCTTAACCAACTGCGCTAAATGAGCAGTAAAGATATTCTTAAAATAGTTGGACCTATGTTTATATGTAGTTATATGACTCCCGCCCTTAGGAACCGGAAATCTGGCCAAGGATTTTAATTTGCTTTCCTTATTTGAAAAACAATAGGCTTATAGGATCACATAGCTCTCTGTGTCCTCTCCACATTAATATGTTCGTTTTATATGTGATCCGTGTCGTATGAAAAATGCACATGAGATAACCTTGTTGCATGTGTATCTGTATGCCCCCTCCATATTTTTTCGTTTTCAGAGCGGTCCGCGTCGGATAAGGAAAGCAGGCGATTAGTTAGTCCCGCAGCTTGTCTCCTGAGGCTCAAGGGATAATACAGAGCTTTCGTCTCGGAGGTTCGAGCATGTCGTTCAGTCGTGTGCGTCACCCATCCCGCCTGGGCCACAGAACGATTAGCGGCAAGCTCTCAGAGCATCGCATTGTGCCTTCAAATAGGTCGCATGCACTTCATCATATCGATCGTATTCGATCCTGAGTCGGGCGGGTATCAGCACCACAGAGGAATACAGTTTCTGCTGTGGAAACTCCAAGGTCTCCGTCCATCTCTGGTGCGAAGCAGGCGCGGGCGGTGTTCATCTTTTATTCATAAGAACTTCTCCTCATGCAGATTCATTGATTTCACAGTTACCGTGTTCATTTCTTCCAAGAACCCTGAAATGAGAAGCTGTTATTCAGTATTCAGAGCATCTCAAATTTGTGATACCCCATTGCCATAAAGTAACACGTAATTTACGCGACCCCCACCTCTTCCGGTCATCGAGAAGTGTAGTTCTACAATCGTTGCTGTTCTCTATCAGGCTGTACGGCGACATAAGGAACCTAAATAGCTTTACAGCCTCTCTGCACCTGCAGTAAGCTATAGAATGTTCCTGTACAGTCATGGAAAGTTCTGCACACTGTTGCAGGTCCCTATCAGGCTGTACGGTGACAGCAGGGACCTAAATAGCTTTACAGCCTCTCTGCCCCTGCAGTAAGCTATAGAATGTTCCTGTACAGTCACGAAAAGTCCAGTTCTGCACACTGTTGCAGGTCCCTATCAGCCTGTACGGTGACAGCAGGGACCTAAATAGCTTTACAGCCTCTCTGCCCCTGCAGTAAGCTATAGAATGTTCCTGTACAGTCACGAAAAGTCCAGTTCTGCACACTGTTGCAGGTCCCTATCAGCCTGTACGGTGACAGCAGGGACCTAAATAGCTTTACAGCCTCTCTGCCCCTGCAGTAAGCTATAGAATGTTCCTGTACAGTCACGAAAAGTCCAGTTCTGCACACTGTTGCAGGTCCCTATCAGCCTGTACGGTGACAGCAGGGACCTAAATAGCTTTACAGCCTCTCTGCCCCTGCAGTAAGCTATAGAATGTTCCTGTACAGTCACGAAAAGTCCAGTTCTGCACACTGTTGCAGGTCCCTATCAGCCTGTACGGTGACAGCAGGGACCTAAATAGCTTTACAGCCTCTCTGCACTTACAGTAAGCTATAAAATGTTCTTGCACCGTTAGGAAGTAATTTGCGAAACGTTTCGCCTGTTGGAGCTACATTTTCCGAAAGCAGGTATGTTAAGTCATGCTGAGTTGCCAAACCCGTGCACCGGCACAACTATTATTTTAAGTACTAGCTGAAAACTTTGCGTTTCCCTCAGAGTAGGTCGCTTCCACCTGGATATTTGTGCCCCAAGCACTGCTGTACAGAAATAATTCCTTCTGCAGTGCAGAGGGAAGGTAAATGTAAAAATATAAGTGATACGCTTTACTGCACATTTTATTTCGACGAATGGACTCAGTTCCAATACATATTTCGGTCATTAAATAATCACCAGGTGGACATACACATAGAATTAATCAGTAGCCACAAAATTGTAAAGGAACTTAATTTAGGTATAATTTTGTCCGATTGATGTTTAAGTCGGATTCGCCTTGCAGCTGTAAGTAAAAACTAAGTAAAGCTATCCCTGTAACAGATCGTGAAGGCCCATAGGGTTGTGAGACATTGAGGATGCCACATTTTCTAGACAATCGGCTCAAAGATGGCGGTAAGGTTGTCAGCCTTACGCACCGGCCGCGCTTTACTTATTGATTATTTTATTAATTCCTGGTACTCACTTCTGTTAGAGCCTGAGTCGACCCCAGGGCCATAGTGGGGCTGGAAGGATGACCTCATCGGGACTTGAACCCGCGACCTTCCGGCTTGTAACATAGTGCTTCAACCAACTACGCTACCGCGTGCCCCCCGTCTTGCAGCTGTATAAACGTTAATTTTAAAAGAAATCCCTTGTCACTGCTTAGAGGCATATGTAAAAGCTAACGTTAAGCTATCCCTGTAACACACCGTAAAGGTCCGTAGGGTTGTGAGACGTCGAGGCTCCCACATTTTCTAGACAGTCGGCTCACAGATGGCGCTCAGCGTATCTCCTGTTCTACGCGAAAGACCCAAGTTTTCACACACAAAACAAATGGCTGATCTTGCAGTTATCTTTCTACATATAAGAACCAGAAGGCAAATGGTTATGATTGCAGTGTCCGCAAGCAGCGACCTAATTTATTGTTCTCTCTTTTGTTGAATCGAATTTTGATCTGTTACTTTCGTTCCTGCCATAAAGATTCTCAATTTTAACATCCGTAAAGTGGGAAATTAATTTCAATGTCTGTTACAGAGATGCACAATACTTTCTAATGCTACGGTAATTCTTCCGTGTCCATAATAGAAAGTTCAGCAGACGTGCAACGTCATGCTACTCACTGCCTTGCATTTGTTCCACTCGAACTGACAGAGTCAGCTATTAGAGACTGCTAGATTTGTGGTTCACACTACAGTGACTGTCAACATGCTGCCCTCTGTGTGTAGTTCGGTGAGAACCTGACGTTTCGGAGGAACATGTCGCCATATTCAGGACGGAAGAGTAAGTCAAGCATTAAACCAGCAGGATGAATCTACAAGCTGAGCCTCCGAAACGTCCCAGAAGATTTGTAGCTCTTGTAGCAGAGTAAAACGCATAAGGAAAGGACAGTTTCGATGTAGAACTAGGACAGAACGTTGAAACGAGCAAGTCTGTTCCAACTGGCTCTGCCTGAGAATCGGAGATCTGCTTGTTACTGATTTCTTTCTTGGAATATTCTTCGATTCTGAAGATGGAGGCGATATGTTCCTCCGAGACGTTGTAAAACTTTTACCGGACTACACGGCGTTATATCAAAGAAGAAGAACTGTTCACAGTCACCGCTGAGATAAATTCAGCTCCAACATACTCACGCTTTACGGGTGTTATTGAGGCCGCGGTGCTCCTAACGCCTGTAACCCCATAATGCACTCTCTCGCCAAATCACGGGGTTTATCTGGAACATAGTCTTCCATATAATTGCCATTTTCTGGGGCGTGACGTCCTTGCACTGCTAGAAACGCGTTGCTTCCATCTTCATGGCAGAAGATTAAGGTAGTTGGTTGCGGTCACCAAGCTAGACAGCGTAACATCTCAGAAGACGGTAGCTTGTGTATCATCTAGTTCTTGCACTACTACTGCTGACAATGCTCATACTACCATTACTACCGCCATAATCATCACTGCTAACCCCATCAGACTAGCCCAAATGGTAACGCTCAAGACTTGTATCCAGGAGGTACTGGCTTCGAATCCGGAACACCGGATATCGTGTCTGATAGTACCTGCAATTAGACCACGACAGCTTCCTTTCATTTTTTCTGATTTAGCGTCAAATATCGTCTTACCATTCGATGAGGTATAGTCTCGGTGTTATGAAGTAAACGCTGGGGTCGTGGGTTCGAATCAAACTCGATGCATGGCTTTCTTTGTGCGTTTATTCTATATTTGTGCTGTCCTGTTTGTAGGTAACGGCCTTGCGACGGCCTGATCCCCCATCCAAGGAGTTCCATCTACTGTGTATAGGATTACGAAACTGAGAAAACCGGCCAGGGCCCAGCAAGGGGCTATGGAGACATTGTTGAATGAACTATTAATGCTGTTGATCTACGAAATTTACTAGTTGCTGTATACTCCAGTGTGGAGACATTTTCCCAGGGGAAATTGCCGCGCCTCACACGAATTTCATTCTCTGTATGCTTCAGGAAGCAGTCGAAAACCTTCGCCTTCGATCACTGCTTCTTTTCACTGGAGCCGACGACAGAGAAGTTCGCCAGCCAGGAAATCGTATTCGACTGCTTGGGGCGGGACATCCTCGACAATGCCTTCCAGGGTTACAACGCTTGCATCTTTGCTTATGGCCAGACTGGTGAGTGCCTTAGTCGACGTAGAACGTTCGCAATGATCATAAGTTATTTTTTTTTTTTGGCAGAAGGGTTCTAAAATTAATTTTGAACTCACACCGAGCAGGCTCACGTAGCGACAGTCCTATAGCATTTTATTTTTGAGGTGCACGGCTCGAATGTCAACCATAACGCCGAAAATCCTGATATTAGTCGAGGTTTTCCTCAGTGATTGGGGCTAGCTCTTTCTAAGGGACCCAACAGAATAGGTGTTTTCCCACACCTGAGGACGGAAACAGATCCAGTTTCCGAAACGTCGTGTTTTTCTTAGTTATCTTAAAACCAGGACGATGTATGAAGTCCGAAAACGCAATATCTCTAGAGCGGTCACTGATAAGCTGACAGTTTCTCAGTTATGAAATCCTGAGGCTTTTTTTTTTTTTTGAGCCTTCAATTTCATTACGTGTTCCCAAGGATATTGGTTCCTAATCTGAGCCAATTTAATCCATTCCACTTCTCCGAACCCTGCTTCTGTTAAGATCCGTTTATCCTGCCACTTTTTGTTCACGTATCCCAATTGGTCTTTCCCCTTCAAGTTTTACCACCCAAAATTTTGTTTGCTTCTTGTATCTTTTCCATGCGAGCCACGTGCCCTTTCCACTCACCCACGTTGGTTTAAATTTAAGAGTACCGATTTTAAAACAGGTCTTGTCTATTTTGAGTTGCTAGAAGTTTATGTATACTGAGTATGGCGGGCGAGGTGTTTGTATTCCTTTTACATATCCTGTGGGTTTTAGGTTCGAACCTATGTCAGAAGACCTGCTATCCTCACTGATAACATTTCGTGTTTTCCTCCAATTTCTGCAGTAAGATGGCGGTATAGTGTTTTAAATAATGCAGGGCTTCTGTCTGCTTTTAGAACGTTGTCATGCACAGCCATCCTACCAATTTGTGCCACATAACCTATGCACATGATAAAAGACGTCACGTTACCCATAACTGACGAAACCCCAAATAAATACTGCGATTGAATCGGTTTCATTTCTTTAAAGCCCAATGGTTACAATATGTACCACTTGCTTTAACATACTAAAACTCTGCATTCTAGCAACACAGTATATTCACGTATTTCATGTCGTTCTTACATGAAACAGCGATTATATCCCTGAACGGTCGGTCGTCATAGCGCAGACATAGTGTGTTTCCTGTGAGGTACGTAATGAGCTCCTATATATTATACTAAAGTTCAGTCTTTAAAGGGTCACCGAGCCAGAGTGGATGGAGTTGAGCGGGAGAGATGTTTGAAGACTCCCAGAGCCGTCAGACGGTAGGATATAATCATGAGTACCATGGGACCCGGAACCAAGAATCACTGTGCTGGCGAGGGCCATCAGCAATTTAGAATTCAGTAAGTGAATGAGTAGTACCGAGCCCTCTTTTCGTCGAAGAGGATGCTCCACGTCTAAACACGCACATGTATAGGAGAGAACAAAAATCTTGGTCATGGATCTCGACGATGTGCTGACGAGGCCCACCAGCACGTTAAATTTGTGGTTATAAAATTATGCAGGTTTTATTCCACAATATGAGGCGAGAGAGATCAATCTGTGAAGTGGCCGGCTACGTATATGTCCGGAGTTCAGTTCTGAACAGAGACAGTTGTTTCCCAGTTCAAGTCTGGATCGGCTGTGGTGTCCACGAAGTGTCGTACCTAAAGAGTAAAAGGTAAAGTTGTCCCTGTGTTTAACTAATTAAGCACTACGCCATTAAGGCGTATGGGGGAGTGGATTTATAGACCCACATTTTCTTGACTTCGGCATTAGCTTTCCCCGGGGAAAGAGCCACCGGTACCCATTGGATAGGAGGTTGGGTGGACCCCAGAGCCNTGTTTGAAAGGTAACTTTAGCTAAGTATCGCACCATGAAGACGTAGGGGAGAGTGGCATCCTTAATTGGATGGAGGTGACTGGTCAGCTTCACGCCCCTGTCGCTTTATTCCCAGTATCCATTGGATGAGTCCCAGAACCAGTCCGGGTTCTGTGAAAAGGAGAGAAATCTCTTGTCTCTTCCGGGAAGCGAACCAGGATTCTTCAGTTGCAGTCGGATGGTTTAAATCGTATGTTTTTAACCTAATTTCCTAAAACGAGGCTTATGTGATGTTACTGTCTGTGTGTCTCTATGTGTGTCCCCCCTTATCAACTTTTGAATGCCTTAACCGATCTTTACGAAACTTGGTATGTGTGTCATGGCACATGGGCCCATTTCAGCGGCGTACTCCATAAATCCCTCCCACCAATCTGTGTGTATATGTATCCCCTATCGGTGCTAGGCAGCGGCCGGCAACGAATACACACGCAACAATAGAAGAATTGTTGAACACATCGTTTTATATGCCGTCCATGTAGAGGCCATGTGGAGGCGGGGTCGAATACCTCCACCGTAGCCCTGCGACGGAAAGCAGACCCCGTGCCTGGAGGTATAACGGGGCCACCCTGTTCCTAGGTGATATAAATACGGAGACCTGACCCTGCAGGTTGGTGGAGTCTTGAATCTGAGGCAGTAAAATGTGGTCATGGGTCCCACGGGACTCGGACGTGATAATGACTACGCTGGCGAGACCCAGCATCAGTTGTAAATAACAGACCCATCCTCTCGTCAGAGAGGATGTTACATAAGGACTGTGACCACAAGTGTTCAGTTGAAAAAAAATGCTGGTCGTGAGTCTCAAGGCGCTTGACGCCAAGACGAACTGATTGGCGGTAAACCGCCAGTCGTAAAGTAACTCTGACTCTGACTTAAAGGATAGTAGACTGTTAGATCTTCCCAGAACTTGTTGTTTTCCTGTAGTTTCAGAAGTAGTTCGTCTGAAAACTAAACTTCTGCTAATTGTCTGTGGCGAGGAACGACTGGCGATCTCAGCATTAGTTTAGAGCGTTTAGGGCCTGAGAGAAGTCCGACGAGGTAGCAGCACGTGGGATGTAGTATGACGTCATAGTTAATAACTTAAATCCGCCACGGCAGCAGCAGTTGTTAGGCACTCACGTCCTTGTAATCGTGAACCTGAACATTTCTACATGTCGGCTGCCTTCACGCGGGTTTCTTGCTCGACTTATTCTTATACCCTGAAGATGGAGGCGACATGTTCTTCCGAAACGTCGGTTGACTTTCAGCAGACTACACAGCCTTATAGATGAGCCGGGATAGCTCAGCCGGTATAGCGACTGGCTACAGGCTGGACGGCCGAGGGATCGGAGTTCGAGTCCCGGTGGGGTCAAGAATTTTCCCGTCTTAATGTCGTCCAGACCGGCTCTGGGGTCCACCCAACCTCCTTTCGAATGTGTACCAGGGGCTCTTTCCCCGGGGGTAAAGCGGTCGGGGAATGAAGCTTACCACTCACCTCCAGTTAGGTCAAGAAAATGTGGATCTCTACATCCACTCCCCCATACGCCTTCCTGGCGTAGTGCTTAATTAGTTAAGCACAGGGACAACTTTACCTTACGGCCTTGTGTCCCAGAAGATAGATAGTGTTGTTCTAAACAGATCAGTCAGTACAGTGGATTCTGCTGGAACATCATGGGCCCAGTTCGCATCCAAGCAAGACCGTATGGGGTTTCACATTGCAGACGAATGTAGTGACAGTGCTGGAGGTAGCCTTTCCTGTCGCCTGCTTTAACGTTAAAAATATCTTCGTTTTGCTTACAAGTTGTATTTATGTGTTTCATATGATTATCGGAATAAGCAGCGATTATTTATCTAAGTAGCATCTGCGGATTGATCTTCATGGTGGATACACAGTATTTTCTTTGAGATATAAACTTTTCTTTTAATGTTGTATAGAAGAACATTTGGCATATAGGATATTGGTGGGAAAGTCAGAAGGAAAGAGACCACTGGGAAGACCAAGGCGTAGGTGAGTGGACAATATTAAAATGAATCTCAGAGATATAGGATGAGATGGTATGGATTGGGTAAATCTGGCTGAGGATAGGGACCAGTGGATGGCTCTTGTGAACACGGTAATGAACCTTCGGGTTCCATAAAATGCTGAGAAATTCTTGAGTAGCTGCAGATTTGGCGGCTCTTCAAGAAGGGCTCAGCTCCATGAGTGAGTGAGTGAGAAGAACATCCAGAGTATTTGATTTCTCGTCGCTTCGGCTTCTTTACCGCCTTCGCTTCCCAACGCTTTACCCTATCTTCACCCTGCCTTAACTGGACGAGCGGGCATTGCTTGGGAACCTTCAAACCTCGGAAACTTTCTGTCGGTCCCTCCACCTTGCCATACCTAATCAATAGTTCCTCTCCTCGAACCCCGCAGCTACCAACACTCCTGCCAAAGAACGTCACTTGCAAAGATATGCTTCCGGATTTCTCCCTGCTATTGAAGCAGAAAAGGAACTAACAAAACCGTAAATTAACATTCAGTTTCCTCGTTGTTCGCACCTTCCGTCCGTGTCATGTTTAAAGGGAGAGTTGTCAGAACAACTTGGAATTCGGCCCGGACACATTGCACGTGCTTTGTCATATGCGATCGGCCTTTACTGCGTTACTTGGAGACGAAATCGATTGCTGTTCTATAGACCATTATGTCTTGCTTGTTGTACACGCCAGGACATGGATGCCGCATATAACAATTGTTTCTTCATATTCCCGCCAGGGGACTCAGGCTTGTGATTCCTGAAACGTAAGAAAAGCTAGAGCAATCCCTGTAAGAGGCCATAGAGGCCCGTAGGGTTGTGAGACGTCGAGACTCCCACATTTTCTCTAGACAGCCGGCTCACAGATGGCGGTGAGGTTGTCAGCCTTGCGCACCGACCGCCCTTTACCCCCAGGAACTTTCCTGGTACTCATTTCTATTAGAGACTGAGTCGAACACAGGGTTATAGTGCGCCTGGAAGGATTAGGTAAATTGGAAAATCCAACCACCTCATCGGAAAATGAAACCGTGACCTTCCGGCTTGTAGCATAGTGTCTCAACCAATTACCCTACCGCGAGCCCCCACCCCTTTTGACTGTAACCGAAATGAAGG